CATATGATATTGATAAGCTATACATTAGTATAAGCTAGAACAATAATAATAAATAATAATAATTAATAATAAATTTCTTTTCTCAGCTTATACCATGGTGGTGCTGAGGTAGTCAAAAACCGCCATGCGTGAAAGTAACTCCATTTAGGCCTACTTCAATTTGCTGGATCCGCCACTGATTATGATGAGTTGGGGATGTTGAACCAACAGCAGTATTGATGTGTCAATCAATCTTAAACCGCTACAGACTCTTTTGAAATTATTGAAATAGAAACAAATTAATACATTTTGTATGTTAATGTACTTACTCGTTTTTGTATCGCAGGATAACAGGTCATGTACAAGATAAACCACATAATTGTGTTAGTCGTAGTATCGCTCCCTGCCATAAAAAGCGTCAGAATCGATCTCCACAGATTAGCAACATTGGCGGACACAGACTTTCCCGCAATGTAGACTGACTTTCCCGCATGAGGTATACTTTTTCCAGGGTTGCTGATTGATTTGTCTACACCAGGCATGGATTCTCCTTCTTCAGGATCCTCTTCTACTTGCAACAGAAGCATATCAACAAGATCGCGGATGTTGCTTTTATCAAATGTGTTTTTGTGTTCGTCCATATGCATGTGTAAAAACCGAACAATATTGTCTGCATGTTGCTTTCGTTTTGAAAATAATTTAATTAGAAATGGCAGCGCGTCTTGTATCCTACCGAAGTGGGAGTATGAAAAATATCCATTCACGTTTGTAAGAAGATCTTGGAATTGTGGATCATCGTATTCATACCGTTTTCCAAAACTGACAGAACAGATTATGTTGGATACGGCATTCGCAATACATTTTAGTGGATAGAATTTGCCACGTTCTTTCTCAATCTCCGAGCATAGTTTGCTAGCCTCAACACGAACTTGTTCCTCAAGACTCCTCTTGCCCATCCCGAAGTGTCGGAGACCAGTGACTACCCATCTTCGGTGCGTTTTCCAAGCTTCTCCATTTTCAAGACCAATCCCACCTATATCCAGAGACATATATTACAGAATTAATCATTAAAACAAAGAAATTTTTTTGCAACCACATTTACCATTAGATTTTAGTGTAAGAGATACCTACGTTTGTTAATGAGATTCAAAATGTACCTCTTAATAACAAGTTTATGGTTTCATTTGACGTACAAAGTCTATTTACCAATATCCCAATAGACGAGTCTATAAACCTTGCAGTTGATTATATTCTCGATAATAATGATAACAACCTTAAAATTACAAACTCGGACTGGTCTGGACGCTAGTTGACAGGACATTCAAAATTAATTGTAGCTGGATGGGTTTTCATGAAGACCTTAAAGCCTTAATATCCATCCTAAGGGAAAATATGTTTCATCATCAATAAAATTAATTCAAAATATCTTGATTCTGTAAGCTCCTCCAATAAACGTTCAAAACCACCTGAGGCCATTGTAGATGCCACACCCACCACCACCTTTTATTTTTAAAATTCCATATATCGGTCCCTTTTCTAAGATTGCCTTGCATAAAATTCGTTTGCTTTCCAAGCAATTATGTAATGATTTTGAATTTAAGTTGGGTTTTTCTTCATTTAAAATAAAAAATCTGTTTTCAGTGAAAGATCCTGTCCCTGCCGGTCTCCGCTCTCGTGTTGTATATTGTTTGTGCTGAATGTATACAATGCCAGCAATGTCGCGGAGAAACTAGCCGACACTTCTCAACACGCGTGCGCGAGCACTTGGTAATTGATAGGAACTCTCACATATTCCAACACCTTAGAGTTCACTCAAATGCACGCAAACTTGTAGTGAGGGCTGTTTCCGTATTTTTGACTCGGCCCCATCAACTCATCATCTCAAAATAAAGGAGTCATTACATATTCAATGGAAGCAGCCCTCACTCAACAAACAACTCCACCATGTTAATTTAACTTTGTTATTCCGATTTCACTTCATTCCGTTTACCATTTATACATTTGTTTTATTCATGATCTTGGTATTCACAACTTGATACGGTTGAATTACGTATAGATTGATGTGTCACAAACTTCACTTCGTTTAAATAAGATTGCCTATATGTCTCTGTACACTGATGATGACAGTAGGATCTGTCGAAACATGTATGTAACGTAAGGCCTAGCAATGGCTAGGCCTAATAAAGTTTTCAGGCATTGCCTGAAATGATCGTTCTCAAAAGTATCGTCA